CTACTCTATTTTCGAAACATCTTAGACCTTTAATAAATAAGAACAGTATCATTAAAATTAAATAAACCAGTAGCACTCTTTACGGAATAACTCTTTTATAATGATTTCTTATATTTACGCGAACACTATACATTGATTAAAACTACTTTTACGGATTTTATCGCGTTTTATTTATATTAATTTTAACACCCGACGTTTCGGGTGCTTTCCAGCACCCATGGTCACGGGAGACTGAGGTGACTGACGTCCCTATGTCAAAGTTAACCCGGAGTACCTTCAGCTTTTTAATTATTGTTTTTGGTTCGATCTACGCAGAATGAACTAACTGTATTTTGAAGTCTTGCAGTGGTATGTTTGGGTTTAGTTTTAATTTTATTAATTATAGGATCCCAAACAGGTGATAGTACCCAGCCTCCTTCTCTATTGAAATTAGGATGTTTTTTAATTTCAATAGCCTCACGTATCATCCTTGGTAGGAATCAATGTACTTTCGCGAGGATTTGTGGTCTATCAAATCAGATGTAATGGTTGGGGCCATCTAGAATATGATCGCAAGTCTGCAGTTTTTTATATATATATATATATATATATATATATATATATATATAAAGTAAAATATGAGTCAGGTTCATAGTGATGAACCCAAGTTTCATCCCCAGTTGTTACATACACAGTTCATACACTGGTACAAAAACTTACGCGAACACTCGACCCGTTGCTGTTTCTGAAGCGGTGTGAGCACTTGCACTGACCGTAGACGTGCCAAGATGGTCATGGAGAATGTTTAAAGCGGTCGTAGATGATACTCCACTCATTTCTACAAATCTACAATCTGTTTTTTCTTCAGACGAGCATCTTCAACAACAAGTTTTCAACCATTTCGACAATGTCTGAAGAAATTGCCTTAATAGGTCGGACTGAGAGTTAATCCTCTTCAACTTGGCATATTTCAACCACTTTAACTGGGAGCGGAATTGTGAAACGTGATCATATTTGCGCGGACCCAAGATGAATCGTATGCAGTTATTAATTAACCTGTCGATCCTGTTTAGCACCTCCTGAGAAATATTACTGAGACAAACATCGGCATAGATAAAAATGTAAAAATTAGAGATTGGTCGAGAAGAAAATTAGTTGAAGTATGCAGAAACAACTTAAAGCAATAGATGGAACGAAGTATACCCGTGACTACGACAAACCTCTGACACCTGTAACATCCAATTTAAACGAGGGGTCAAATAATTAAACCCAGATCCTTAACACTAGTGCGAATAGGAATTACGCAGTTTTCATAGTAAATAGATAGCAGTTTAGATATAATATTAAGTTGTGACACCAATCGGCGATTACCATTGACCATAGTCTAGCATTTATTGGAATTAACGGTTATATCAAAGAGCTGTGACCAGTATGAAATATGTTGTAAGTCATGATTATTAGCTGCAATAGCAGTGTCAATTTCAGTCAAGAACACTTGATAGTATATCTGGAATTGTCAGCATAGAGGTGGTAAAGAACATTGAAAGGTGGGTAGTAAGATTGATAAAAACCGAAAACAAGAGAGGAAAAATAATGCGGTCCTGTGGTATGCCTAGAGACAGATCTCACCAGTCGGAAAAATCCTGACCATGTCGTACAGCCAGTGCTGACGAGGGGAAATATATATGTGAAAGTAATCCAAGGAATAAGTTGTGATGACACATACAATTGAATGCATTTGAAAAGTCAAGGACATTAACAGTCAAACATGACTTCTCCATGCCCTCTCTAGTCTTCTGTAATTTGCAGTAATTATGTGGTGGTACTGTGTCCCCGGCGGAAACTAGACTGATATGTGCTAAGGAAATTGCATTTTGAAATAAAAGAGGTGACTTTTTTGTGTACCATAGATTCAAGAGCTTTGGAAAGGAACGGTGGTATAGAATAGAAACTTTACCAAGGGGCAAGACAAAAGCTTTTAGTAATAACCCCAGAAAACACCAGGAAAAAGTGAGAAATTGATGATGTGAGTGAGAACTGGAGTAAGGATATTGAGTGTGAGAAGTATCATAGATCTACTCACTTCATCATAGCTGTTTGCGGAAGATTTTATTGAAAGTGTAGTTTTTCTAGTATACTTGTCATTCACTGAACTGATGTTGAAAGAATTATCCGAAAACAAAGGCCCATGTCAATTAAGTTCCTGGAGAGTCGAAACTTTGGTGGATGAATGCAGGCGCGAAGCTTAAGAGAAGTGTATGTCCACGTCATTAGTGAAATATTTGGGATTAGTGCCACGTTGTATATTCTTAGAATCGCGGTCAAGTCGAATGGTGTCAATTTTATTTTAAAAAAATTATTTTATCTTTAATTAATCTACCCGTTCTTTCTAAAAATCCAGGCTATTAGCCCGGATTTTCAGGTAAGGTGACTTGCGTCATAAGTCCGAGTACTATGATGCATCCATTTAAATGAGAAATCCTTCTTTTCATTTGTAAAATTGGGTAATGTTTTTTTTATCTTAAACAACTCAATTGAATATTAGATTTTAACTAAAGTTAAACTTCATACCTTCTATCAGAATGATTATTACATAATAATAATGCTTTATTTCACAAATAAGTTTAAAGTCCAAATTACATATATTTAGGCAAGAAAAAATAACTTACCAAAACTAACATTGAAACACTGCTGTATAGGAATCAAGGTGCAGGCGTGCGCGCGCAAGCGTGTGTGATGATATTGTAGTTTGCTGAAATATCTTGAATTTGCCGATTTACAATGCTTGTATAAACAAATATATATGATTTGAACCTTAATATATTACAAATACTGTGTGGACCAAATATTTACTATATTTAAGATGGATATTTTCCACAAAAAAATCTCTCCCGCTATGATGCAAAAACGGCGTTGTCGCCGCGCTCCGTATGACGGCGTAGATTATGTATAATAATCTAGGGCAAACTGGTTGCATTGCTGAATATTATTTATGTTGAGTATATATTGTAGGACGGCAGGTAGTGAGCACAGAGTCAGCATGGTTATCATTCAAAAATATCCCTGTTATTATGCAAATATTATATTTATAATATAGAAACAATAGCCAATAATAAAGAACTTTGTGAAAGTATACACTACAATAAATAATTCATATCATTCATTTTAGATAGAAGAAGGAGAGATATATGCAATGATTAACCAAAAGGATGGGATGGTTGTATTCTTGGACAGTCCTGAAAAATATGCCTCACCTGAAACATTATGTGTGCTAGAACAACAGATGGCTGCTTGTACTAAGCTTCACCAGTATATTCAAGAAATGGATGAACAAATACAAGTTAACCCACAAGTGAGTTCCTTCCTAATTATGAAATACTAATGCAATGACAATTTTGTCTTTGCTATAACTTTATCATAAATTGTTAACAATGGAGATATAATATAGTGCCACGTGATCACTTAATCACGTGTATTCTAGGTGTCACTTATCTTTCCATTTTATCTTGGTTTCCATTTTATCTAGGTGGACTGTGTGCTCGTTTGTCACCCTATCCTATAGAAGAAAAAAAACCCACGGAATGATATATTTACACTGCCTCAATCAGCAAAGAAGGAGTTTCACTAAGTAACAACAAACGCAATTTTCAAACCGTTTTTTGTAGGATAACATACATTTATGTTATCCTACAAAAAACGGTTTGAAAATATAAAGATTTCTTGTGTGCTTTCTTTACCGCTCCAATTAGTGTGTTGGGTGAAGAAGGAGACAGTTAGATGGAAACAAACTAGGGGATGGGCAGTAGCGTCTTGCCAATAACAACTAAAAATAAATAACTGCGGTTGCCAACCTGCCAGGCGTGGCCACTATGGAAAATATCCCCACTATGAAGCAATCTATGGGGAAGGTCTATTTTCAGCAGTAAACTTTTAATAGGCTGTAACGATAACGGTTATATTAATTAAATGTTTGTGGCATCAACATAAGTTAATTATTGTATAGACCCTTGACTTGTGTCATTATAATTTTGACATAAAAACCGACTGGATTGGCCGTGAAGACTAACTAAACCTTACTAAATACTAAACCTGTCGGTACTTATATATAATTAATAAATTAAAATTATAGTGAATTAAGTCAAGTGTTTATGCAATAATTAGTGTTGTAGCTGGATGCGCAGATTAATTGGACGGCTAGATCGTTAGTTTATTGTCGGCTTTCGACATCGCTACGGTTGAATTAAGAGCCATTTTGATGCTTAAATTTAGTTACATTCATTGCCATTTGATAATTTCACAAGAGTTTATGTAAATTTTACCACTGCAAATGTTGTCTTTGAAAACATTTATAAATATGTACAACAATTTTTCTTTTTTTTATTCTTTAAAAAAACCTTTTAAATATAACTTACTCTATAGAACCCCTTCTCTAATATAAAAGAAATGAATTCAAAACAATCAAACATTCTTCATTTTTTTATTCTTTAAAAAAACATAAGTTTTTTTACCTCAACCCCTTTATTTACTGTAAAGTAATTGAATTGAAAACATCTTTCACCTTGAAACCTTTAATAAAGTCATCACTCTTGCAAACTATAAATTATAGTAAGAATTTGTTAAATCAGTCAAATAGCTAAATATAGTTAGACCAGCACTTTTGTTAGATGTTAGTTAAGCAATTTAGCTAAGTTTTTTTACACATTTTTCAATATGCTTGTGCACGTGATTTAAGGAAATCAATTACAGTATGTTTTTTATTATTTCAGTATGTCAAAAAATCAGCAGGAAGCCATGATGAGGATATGCCAGCGACAAGCCAAAACTCAAAAAATACTTATTCCATGTAAATTATCATATATATATATATATATATATATATATATATATATATATATATATATATATATATATATATATATATGTAAAATATAACACTGTGTAATAAAGTATCCCATGTACTTTGCAAACAATGTTGTGTGTACAATATAAATATTACAACATAAACTTTTTTTATACAAATTTCATATTGCTTCATGTACAGCTTCAGTAAATGCAGTCATACTTTCTAATGGAGTTTGGGGTGTAATTCCGTGACCTAGGTTAGCTATGTATCTATGTTTGCCAAACTTTTTAACCATATCTATTGTCAGTCTTCTAATTTCTTCCTGAAAAGTGTTTTCTTTTCATAAACATGTATGAGTAATTTAATAAAAGAAGTTGTTATGTTTTGTTACTTAAAAGTTACACTATTCATTTATCTAATTAATTATAACAGATACTTACTGGTGTCTTATACAAATCTTGTGGATCAAGATTTCCCTGCAAAGTAATATTTGTTCCAACGATTTTCCTTGCTTCAATTGGGTCAACAGTCCAGTCTAAACCAATTGTTTCATAGCCTAATTTAGCCTGAACATCTAAAGAATGGCCCCCACCTTTAGCAAAAATTGTCTGTAAATATAAATTGTACTAGTTATTATTTTAACATAATCTAAAATAAGTACGATTTTCGTAATAATAGCAAAGAAAATGTAAGTCTATGTCTATCTATGTTTCAACTCAAAAACATACGCATTTTTTATGGAAGTAAGGATGAGACAAATGAACAATAGAAATATGATGAATGAATACCAGTCTTTAAGTCTGAAGGGTCAATGTCATATCAAGTAAATAAAACGAAGCCTTATAAGAGTATCTACATGTATAAAACCTTTTCTCCTGTGGACATATTGCTTATCATAATTGTTTTGGTATTTATCAATCAATAGATTGGACCTAGATTATTCTACTTTTCTCTTATTGAGTATAAAAGCCTAATATAGCAATATATAATGATTTCATTATAGTATAAAAGACTATAAAGAAATCAACTTACGACATCTGCGAGTATTAAAGAGTTCTGCGAAGGAGCTTAGCAACTTTGAACGACTCGATTTTAAACATGCTTTATATAAAACTGAAGTGAAAAAATTGACTTACAGCCTACCTGATGGTAAGTGGTTACAGTCCGTGGACACCTACAGCCAACTTGAAACAAAGGAGGCTATAGATGCATTATCACCTCCCAGGATTAAGTTGGAAAGCCTCACAGGCTGTAATTATATTGGCTCTCTACACCCTTCAGACCAAAGCTAGATTGATAAGAGTACTCTAGAGGAAGAAGAGGACCTAAACAGACTTAGCCACAAAAGGAGTCCTGACACCCAAGTAAATCTAAATGAACATCTCGTTCATTAATACAGCTAAAATGTTAGAAATGACTAAGTTATTAACCTTTTGAGCGCCACGCCAAAAACGCATTACCGTGTCCTGTACGCCAAAGCGAAAAGTAAACAAAAATACCTACGAAAAAAATAGTGTTGCCACGAGTTGATATATCGATAACACAAAATAACTTGATTTTGTTGGTTTTTTATGCAATAAATTACTCTTTATAATCTGGTATGTTTTATTTAATCTTCTACTGTCTTCCATTCTTTATATATTTACTTTGTAGATAAATAAAAATAAACAATAACAATAAAATAGTAGTAAACCACAACACTACTCTTCATCGTGATGACGTCACTCTCACGACTGGACGACAACGGCGTAGCTGATCTTCCTTTTTGAAACTTTTTTAGAGATGTAGCCGTGTCGCACGTTGAGTATCGACTTCGGAATCGATCTAACCAAAATATACAGGGATTGACTCAAAATATTTTATGTGTCGGGGGAGGCGTAGGCCAAGTGAAGCACAGAAGTCTTACGCTCTTATGACAATAGGGGTTTGATATGACGCTGATGCTACTACATGATTTTGAGATAATCATAATCTTTATTGCAATCAAATGGTAACAATAGAATTTGGAATTTAAAAAAAATGTCCGCATTTGAACCCAGTTCGGGCGTAGCAATTATAAAAATATTAAATATTTTTTAAAACTACAAGATTTCATTAATAAATTACATTATTAGATTATATTATTTTAAAATCTTGTAAATTTAATTAAATTAATAATCACAAAGTCAAGTAAAAAAATAATTATTATTGTTATAAATAAAAATAAGTAAATGATAATAATTGAATAAAAAAATTAAATTAAATTAGATAGGCACAGGCCGAAGTTGTCCACACAAATTAAATAACATTTGTACCAAAATATTCATTTAAATTATAGAAACATTTTTCAATTAAATATAACTTTAATTTGGATAAAAATAATGTACTCGTTGAATTTATTATGTCATTTGGAAGGTTATTAAAAAGGTAGGGACTATATATTATAGAGCTATGCAAAGCAAGAGTAGATTTCGGCAATAGTTGCCTATTTTTATTTGGTCTAATTGAGTATTTGTAATTTGTTTCACTTAATTTGGTAAATAGTTCTGGGTGGTTTTTTACAAAATTGCATGTTTCCCAAATATAAATAGATGTCAAAGTCAAAATTTTAAACTTTTTGAAATGGCGCTTACAACTTTCTGGAATTTTTATGTTTGCCAAGATTCTTATAATTTTTTTTTTGCATTATAAATAATTGCTGTGCATCTTTACTATTTCCCCACAACATGACACCGTATGACAGCTACGAAGAAGTGTATGCGTAATATGCTGACAGAGCGCTGGGGACATCTGTGGTTTTCTTTATTTCTCGTAATACATAAGTGACTTTATTTATATGGGCCTAACAAGTTGAAGTTGTCAACAGTCCTATAAGTATATTATTATAAGTAAAAGCGATATTATTTAGTGGTGATTTTTAAACTGGTGCGAATTGCATAATTTTGGTTTTATTAAAATTAATCTCTAGGTTGTGATGTGTCAGCCAATTTGTAACCTGGTTCAATACATGATTCAATTTATTATTTAAATTCTAGTCATTTGTATGCGGAATAATAATGGAAATGTCATCAGCAAATATAATAGAGGTTTCAGTCAATACCCTATATTGAGAAAGAAAATCGCACAACACAAAATGTAAAATTGCTCGTCATATCTTAAGAAAAAAATAAACGTTTATTATTTGTAATTTTATATTATTAAAATAAAAAAAATCATCATCATCGACGCTTTCCAAAATGCGAATGAGTTCTGAGGAATCGTTCATGTTGCACTGCACTACTTTTTCCGCTACTCGTTTATGACGTAATCAGGGTGTCGTCTATCCTTGACCACGGCGCCCAATGAACTAGACATGGGTAGTTCGCGAACGATTGAAGGAAATGAACTACTTCATTTCGCAAAATAAACTTATTATTCATTCAGTATCATTAAAAATGTGTCTCTACTTCATTTAGTTCAGCCTTTCTTTTCGCTCCACCACTCACTCGCACATGCTCGTGATTCGTTCGTGTCACTTCGGCGCCGGCCGGTCGGCTTCGGCTGGAGTTGGCCGGCCGACGTGTATCGTGTAGGCGCGGCGCAGCGCAGGGCGTTTTGCCTAGGCCTACACGACACACGTGCACGAAAAGTCAAATAATATTATGCAACAGTGTAGTTAGTCTAAACATACTAATATGAGCTTTCTGTTTTATACTAATAAAGTTTAATTTAGCGTACAAAAATGTACGTAAACTAAACAAATGCTTTAGGTAATGAATTATTATTTTCGTATTTTTTTAAGATCGTCGAAGGATCGGCAATATCGAAATCTCTCATGTAGCATTGCTATTGCAATCAAATGAGATAAAGCGCAATAATTTAGAATTTGAATTTCTTACACGCATAGTTCACAAGTTGAGTTCAACTTGAGGTCGATGACAAACGGAAACGGAATGCACTAATAGTCTAATACTGCACTTGTTGACTTGTGCGGTGCGTTACGTTTATTGTAGGTAGCTATAGCTAAAATTGTGTTCTCGTATTTATCCTCTATCAGTTTTATAAATATAATGATTAATTGAACTAAAAGTTATATTGTTACTTTTATATATTTAGATAGAAAGTGCTGTGTGGTGGAACTATTTTACGGAAAAAGGACCAAAAAGACGAATTCGTACTCTCACTGTTCTAGTACCTATATTTTTGTGTTAACGTATAAATTACATATCTACTTAAGTGAAGTGCATCATTCGTCGTAACTCACTCATCAATCACACTTGCGAGCTCGATATCCAAGGGTTACGGACTCGTTTTGGTTTGTAATAACTGAACTAAATGAGTGGACTACTTCATAGATCGAAAAGATATACTTCATTCATTTCTTTTCACTGACACATTTTGCGCATGTCTACAATGAACTGATAATCGATGACGCGCTAAGGATGCACCAGAGTTGAGATATTAGATTTATTATGCGAAGTTGATTTGATGAAATTTTCTTTTATTTATGTAGCTGATGATAGTTTTATGTTTCTTACCTATTGTTTTATTCAAATATAAATAATAATTTAAAAAAATAACATGTTTGCGTTTAGTTTTGAAAAGTTTTCAATAAATCTATGCCTAACACATTACAACACTAGCGGTCAAACATAGACGACTTTGGCGTGCTGGACATGGTATTTGCTTAGATAAAAATCCATTTTTTTTAGTTCAATGTTTCTTAGTACTCGTGGCTCTAGGAGACTTGTTTTTTATACTCGCATGTTGCTGGCTTATTCTTTGAGGAGTGTAGAATTAAAATACCCGTAATTACTTTCCAATATCTATATTTCATATTTTTTGTGGGCCGGGTTTTTTGTCAACTATAGACGTCGTTGGCGCTCAGAGCTCGCAGGTGCTTGTCAAGTATAGGCGACTTTGGCGCTCAAAAGGTTAATAACAAAAACCCAACTCACGTACAACACAACACAACAAAGTAAAAAATCACCTAATTTTACGCCACGGAAGGCACGTAAAGCTGGTATGCCAAAATAATTTTGTAAATCTCAACTAATTAATAGTACATAGATAACTTTAACAATAAAACCAAATAAAAATTCAGACTAATGCAAAACAATTTTAGTGCCTTGTTTATTTGAGCAGGATGCAAAAAAGCTCAATATGTATCAGAGGCTGAAGCAGCACATAAAGCTAATATGTTTATATATAAACTATACTACATACTGTAAGGCCCACTATTACTGCAATATTTAAATATATATATTACCCCATATGTATATGTGTAATGTGCAAATACAAATATACATGTATGTTACCTTAAAGGTATAAAAAACAAATGTGTATAAATCATGTAATTTTGGTTCGTAAGTATTTTAAGTAGCGACAGAGGGCAGCGAGTTAAAGATGGGCAGCAACATCACTCCCATAAATCCCCATGGCAGCATCATGGAAGGTTTATCAATATCCCCAACTTAGCTGAGTAGCGTTTAGGAGACTACAACACATTTTATGTCTGAAGACAGAATGGTTTCCTTCACAATGGAATACGGGAAAATTAGTCTTGCCAAAGAAAGACGGGCTCCTTGCAGAATCTCCCTGCGCATATCGCTCAATCTTAGTACTTAATGAGGTAGATAAGCTTTTATAAGTTGAGTCCTTTCTAATTGGCAAGCATCACGTCGAGGGAGGTCCAATTCTATCAGATCTGTTAATCGTCTTCCGAATGGTACTTTTAACGATTTATGTTAAGGCACATTTGAACGAAAGGATGCTAAGAGTTGCGGTGATGTTTTCAGTGTCTTAAGGACCTTCAACGATTTTAATACCTTGCCCTAAATGTCTATAAAAAAGGCAGTAGGCTTTTATGTGCCTTGTTACTCCTTACCACTTTAATTTGGCGTGATGGCTGTCTGGAAAGAGAAAGGAGAGAGATGTTGTGCGGAGTTCCATAGGGTTCATTCCTAGGACCGACCCGAGGAACATTGGATAGGACTGTAAATGAGGTACGAGGATCATTGTCGGTGGTCGGTGGCACAGGTTGTAGGCAGAATACAAATATTGGAGGTGACGCTACGCAAGTCAGAGGCCAGTTGCTTTCTTGGGCCCAGAAGGGCGTCGTCAACAGTGTCCCATACTTTCGTCAGTGCTATTGGTATTGAGGTAAAGGCTATGTTAGGATACGATATCTCAGAAGAAACATATCCGCAGCAGTAGTGTCGGGCGCCTAAAGAAAGTATCTCCTTGATTGAGGCAACAGACACGGAGTTGTCCATCGACTTACATGCAAGGCCTCGAAGTGGCGCATACGGTGTTTCCCGTGCGTCCCGATATAAAAAGGGAGTAGAGAATTTCAGTTCCACTCCCGCACTGAGAAGGAGCCTGTAGGGGCTACCGTCATCGGGGCTGCGGTGAGGAAGCCAAAGCCGCCCATATTTTTCGCTGAGACTCCAGCTTAAGAATTAAGGCATAAAAAAATTAAAGCTGCGGCGGTTGTATCCAATGTGCAGTGCTGGATGCTATGTACAAAAGGAATCAAGATGAGCAAGAAGAAGAAGGGGAAGAATCTGAAGATAGCAAAGAGGAAACAAATGAGGATAATGACTCTAACAGTGATAGCAAGGGAGGAGAATTTGTAGTTGAGCAACATCTAAACAGAGGCCGAGACCTACATTTATATGGGGATGTAAATTTAAAAATGTAATAGAGAAAGTGCGAAAAATAGTTAAATTTTTTAAGAAGTCACCCACCAGAAAAGAGATTCCCGATATTTATCTTCAAAAAGAGCATTCTGCTCAAAATGGGTTGATCTTAGACTGTAAAACCAGGTGGAGCAGTTTAGCAGATATTATCACAAGATTTTTGGCATTAAAAGAGCCTATTTTAAAGATATCACGTTTAGTTTAGGTGAGCTAGCTTTGCTGCAGGAATTGTCCACTTCCTTGAATATTGTAAAGGCAACAGTACAGGCGCTGTGCCAAGATAATGCAAATCTGTTTACTGCGGAAACAGCCCTTCAATTTATGGTATCAAAACTTGAAAAGGCGAACTGATTTATCAGTGACAGACTATTCGAACTCTAGCTCTGAAGAATAGAATTGCCCAGAGAAGCTTACTAAATTTAATCTGCACATTAAGATATCTCCACAATCTCAGTAAATATTACGTAGAGCCACCTTCGTCTATCTTTCCATTACCAGGCAATAACATTATTACAGTAGTAATAACTGAAATTAACAACAGATATTTTTCTAAAAGACAGAACTCTGATAATGACGAAGATGACATAAACTTAGTTCAACTTCAGCATCAGCAACGCTATCATCAGCAACAAAAGGAGTCACACCAGGTAACATTTGTAATAAGTTTTATAGAAGAGTTAGGGATATATGACACTAATTCCGCAACTCCTTTGAGGTCTATATCATATTTATCAGATAGAGAAGAGTTATAAATGTCGGTGCGAATGCAGATGGCGCTATTTGACAGAGGAGGTCCTAGACAAGTTCATTTGAGCCAAGCGTATGACTTTCTCATGTGTATACCACCTACAAGTGTTGAGGGTGAAATGGTGTTTTCATTAACAAAATACATTTGCAACCATTTAAGATGTGTTTTAAAAGATGATTTCCTAGATGCGCTAAGTTTCCTTAGGTCCCACTTACAAGGAGAATGTTAATTTTTTTTTATTGTAGAATATGCTTGCACTTGACGACAATCATGCTTGAAAGAAAGCAGTGGTGAGGTGTAAGTTGAAATGTGCTTGCCTAGAAGATACCTTTTGAAGATACCTTCATATCTTCTAGGCAAGTACATGTAAGTGTAAGAATAAGCCAAAGTTAAATGATAAGATTAAAACGTATTTTTACTTTTGTACAATGTGGCATGGATCTGATTCTGATCTCATAAATTCTAATACTGATTAATTATTTGTATTCTATCACAGTTGAAAATCTTTCTTTTGAATCTTTTAAGTTTTGTAAGTAAGTAATATATAAGTTTGTAATGACGTAATTATTATATAAATATTAAAATATTATGACACTACTCAGAACTCAATTTATAAGACTGTTGTGTAATTGTGCTGTGATTGTCTTGTTAAGCACCAAGTTTTTATAGGACTGCATTAGTGCCATAACAGTGAAATTCCAAGCAGTTCTTTAATTCTTAATTATGATTTTGTTTTGATTCAGAGAAATTAGACTCTAAGTAAGAGCAGGCAATAAAAATATGATTATTATAACAGCTTTTGTTTTTTCTTTAATTATGCGAATAATTCGAATAATACCCCAAAAAAAGTCGAATATTCGAATACCAAAAAATTTTGAATATTTGCAAGCCCTATTCAGCAGTGAACTTGTCAGGGGCTGTAATGATGATGATAAAAAATAAATGTACCATAGGAACTTGTTCCAGTTTCTTCTCTTCAAGTTTCTTTTGAACTCCATTTCGTATATCTTTAAGATATGGAGATGATACTTCTATAAACTGCTCTCTTGTGAGGTGATCAGCACTGGATTCAAACACTTGTAATAGTTGTGCACCGCTTTCTACCTATGAAATTAGTCAAAATGTGTATTTTTAAAATTAAAAAAAAATTTAACATACAAATTTTATAAGGCATCAATAAATGAGTGTATACTTGGTAGTTGTCATTTACAAAATTTATTACTTATTAGTTAAAAATCATTAACAATGTTTTGAAAGACATCTTTTATGTGATATTTAAAAAATAGACTTGAAAAGGAAAATTTAAGGGATTGTCTTTGTGATATACATACCTGCATTACTAAGTAGTCAATAATAACCTTTGTTAACAAACTAAGAAGCCTGTGAACATCCTTTGGATATTTCTCCAACCACTCTTTGGTTTTTGACATTGTTTTACTCCCACCTCCTTCTACCATATATCCCATTAAAGTGAACTGAAACATTTATAAAAATATTTCCTTTCAATATATCTTCACAATATAAAACTAATTTAAAACAATTATTATCTTACCGGTGCTCCTGTGAATCCAATCAAAGGAACCTTTCCTTCTAGTCTGTGCCTTGTTAAAGTAATGGCTTTACCTACATAATCTAATCTAGAAATAGCTCCATTTTCTTTTAACTCATCTAGTTCAGAGGGATCTTGTAAAGGTTTTGGAAACACTGGGCCCTGAAATTAAATTATTTTCAGAGTGACTGAGGAAATTGTGTGAAAATCATTTAATAGACAAATATAATTTTATATTTAGGTTTACCAAACCAGGGTGCATCTCCACCGTCATACCAAGAGCTTGTGGTATAACCAGTATATCACTGAATATAATAGAAGCATCCAAATGTTCATAACGCCTTAATGGTTGCAGTGTGACCTCACAAGCTAATTCAGGAGTTTGACAAACGGTGAAAAAATCATGTTGAGCTCTCACTGCTTGAAATTCTGGTAGATATCGACCAGCTTGCCTCATTACCCATACAGGTACTTTATCTACTTCTTTGCCAAGAGCTGCTCTTATCAGTCGATCATTTTTGAGAGTGGGAAAGTTCTGAAACAATATTCTGTTTATAACTTGACACAAGTCTTTATGAATTTATTTTAAAATATTTTTTTAGTAAGATTACAGAAACATTTAATTTGCTTTGCAGAATTTAACATTCAGCGTATTATTATTTAGCATGATTAGTATTGACACAATTTTTCATATAGATTTTCGATTTAGAATTTCCTCAAAACTTGACTGACACAAAAGTATCAGTGCTTGTTGCTTCATAAGATTTACTAAAACATGCTGCTGCATTGCTGGCCATATATTATGGAAGCCTAAAGTAGCTCAGGAAACTAAGCTTGGTAATTTTCTGTGTGGAAGAACTAAAGTAAAAATATCCACAGAAGAAATAGGGAGTAAGTAACCTTAAATGTCAATAGGCTGGCCATTTTTCACTCAGATCCAACAATCGATTTGTAGAAAGGTTGGTAAGTAGAAGTTAGGGCGACCCCCTCTAGATGAAGTGACGACCTGATGAAACATGCAGGGAGTGTATGATTGCAGTGCAGGTGGCTCAGAATCGTGATTTGAGGCCGTCTTCGGGGGAGAACTACGTTCGGCAGTGGCCTTATGATGTGCTGTAATGATGATGATCATCATCAACATTTATAATATGATTATTTAGAATGATTTGTATAAATACAAAGTGACTAAATTACCTTGTTGGAGAAAGCCATTATTTTATTACTTGATTAATTATATAGTAAACTTTTTATGACTTTGCAGGTGTAGGCGTTACTTGATAACACTATCAAACTACTAACAAGTTTAAATAGTAATTAATTAACGATTTATAAACACTATCATTATCACAAATTCATTCTGACATTGATAAGTTGACAAGAACATGACAAATAGTCACGCCTCACGTCTTTTTTTATTAGCTGGCTTTATGGTGCTTTATGGCTCTGGGTTCTAGCCCTTCTGAGCCTTGTCATGTCTTTTGTCAACTAATCCATGGAGGTTAGAGAACAGGAGAAAAATCTGGCCGGCGGAGGACATTCATTCGCATTCAATTTCGCGGCACTGAAGAGCTCTAGTAAACAACAAGAAGAATAAGAAGAAAAGGAAGATCTCTCTCGGTGTTAATATTAGTTAATTAATAATACAGTGCCGCCTCAGTAAACAGTGTAATAATTTGTGTATAGTTTCAACCCTCTTTCATTCTTTTAATAGAACAGTCAATAAAGTATATCAGGTCTTCACATAGTTATACACACAGTTTTATAAATAATACAGTCCACATTCTCTGAGCCCATGTCAATAGCATTAAACTGCTTATGAAAAATAAATAAAATACCAAAGAAAGTAATCAAGTAGCATTTATTTTCTTCTAAAAGTTATATACTACATATCCTTATCACATTCACTAGCTAAGTCCGAATCTTAGAAAACAACCATTGGAATTAATGGTGATTAATATAGCGCATAGCGCCGTATTATAGCGCGCTATCTCTTCATAACACATAGCGCGTGTTATGTAAGTAGTCGCCATGGCGCTATTGCGCTATGGCGCTTTGGCGCCATCAAGTATTAATATCTAGCGGCAATTAGTTCTAGCCACAGAGTACCTTTGTATAAACTGAAAGTTCTAGCAGCAGCGCTGTTGGCAGAGGACGTGTGACGAAAATTTGATCTCGTTGCGCGCTATTCATCGCGCGCGACCTAATTTAATGTTAGACGTTGTTTAATTAGTGTATATTGTATATTTATAATAGATCAAAGGACACAATTGTGATAAAAGAAGCCTAATTAATGTTTTTAAATGTAAATAAAATATAGATACAAAAGTGTATATAATAGTGTATGTAAATAATTGATTTTTATAAATACAATAAATAAACTTTTAAATACACCTTTGTTTGATTTATAATTTATATTAAGGTTAAAATAATGTTTACATCAATTATAATAAAAAATAATTAATTTTATTTCGATTCTAAAAATAAAAATAATTCTATTTTAAATAGTACATAACTTAAAAATATTTTTAGGATTATAGAAATTAGTAAGCCTGAAAAGTATGAAAACGCGTGCATTGGTTTTTCTTTACCGCTTTATTTTATTTTAGTCTAAAATGCGACTTATTACGAAATAATGTACACAAAAAATAATTTACAAAAAATAATTATTAATAATTATTATTTGCATTATATAGCACGCGATCTAGCCAATGAATGACATGTAATATAACGTGCTAAGAGATATAACGTGCTGTTAAACTTAACGCGCTTACCGGCCTCCTACACGCTTTCTTATAAATAGCGCACTATAATATAGCGTATTTAATAGCGCGCTAGAAATTTATAGTTTACTAGCTGTTACCCGCGGCTTCGCCCGCATGCTCTCTGGGAAATGAACTATCCATTGCTTTTTGAATTGAAAGAAAACTGAGTTTTATAGATATATCAGAGATGCAGCCATTAAAAGGAAACTGAGCAAAATTGATTCGTCAGCCTATTTAAATGTTGTGAAACGCAGCTTATAGGAAAGCATGAAAATAGCCTTTTTATTCCAAATGGAAATGGGATATTTTTTAATTAAAGGAAACTGAGCATAATTATCCGTCAGGGATGCAGACTTTTGAAAAGAAACTGAGCTAAATTGATTAGTCAGAGATGCAGTTTTCTGAATTGAAAGGAAACTGAGCCAAATAAAAGATCCGTCAGAGATGCAGCCTTTTGAGTTGAAAGGAAACTGAGCTTAATAGGTCCGTCAGAGGTGCAGCATTTGGAATTGAAAAGAAACTGAGTTAAATAGGAAATTTTGAATTGAAAGGGAAGATCTGTGGGAATTCTGATTAATTGATTGTGGGAATTTTGGAAAAAAAACCTAACTGAACACTATTTTAAAACGCTACTGTACACAATTTTATATGTTTTTCCATTCGGGGAAAGAAAGTGGAGATTCTGGGCATTTGACAGACGCAAACATGCTACATACAGCTGACCATGAGAAAAGCACGGTTTTTCTAAGTTGACCTCCGCTACCTGTAACGTTTGCCCTTGCGCTTTATTAATTGTTATTGCAAAACTGAGCTTAATAGGGAACTGCAACCTTTTGAATTGAAAAAGAAGATCTGTGGGAATCATAGGGATCCGTGGTATAATAACATTTTCACCTTTTCCTACGCCTGTCAAAATTGTAGCACCGATTATGTTCCGTCCAAGATGTGTTACACGCAGCCTTGTCCCGTTACATAACCGAGGAGCATCTAAATTTCGCATTAGCATGACTGGGACGCCTAATTTTAATTGAAGCTTATGTGAGGGCACCTGACCTGAAAACTCTAGAGAATTTATAAACTCTGCGGGATATGAAGTGCTCTGTTCTGTGTGCATAACTGTGTCTACTGACAAATACTCTGTTATTTCTCCTGCTACTTCGCTTAATATATCTGAATTTATTTTGTTAACGCTCTCATTTTTTGGTGCAAGAATCGCTCTTTCACATAACCATTTGTCTTCATGCATGTTGTTCGTTAAATCTGAATAAACGCTCGCAATTAATTCGGAATGACTCTGTACTAAATTACAAAAATCTCTCGTCAATTTAACGCAGCCCTCAGCATCCGTTTCCAACTGCCCATCGCCAATTTTTAATAGTGTGTCAGCATAGTTTCCAGCATTGATATCATTATACAAATGCACTCTCATATTCGTAGTTAAACTGAATTTTGTCACCTTGTGCCATAAAATAGACGACTTGAGGCATGCTTTAATTTCATTTGCAGGTGTGCTCTTTTGAATGACAGGTAAAGTTTGGCGAAAGTCACCAGCCGGTAAAACCACCATTCCTCCCATACATCGCTATTGCTGCGCAAATCCTGGAGCGTTCGATTTAGTGCTTCTACAGCTTTTTTATGCGACATTGTACTTTCGTCCCACACTAAAACTGAAAAGATCACATCGCCATCGGAACTCCTGTTTCATCGTTTCCATCAAAGTATTCCGTCAATAATTCAGATGGGTGGGTGGATATTTATTACACAAAATCACATCACTTCTTCGTTTCCAAAATCCATTTCAAACCATTCATTAAAAACCAGCAATCTTAACAGTAAGGTGGTCAAGTTCCAGCCGAAACCCTCTACCTGTAATTTATTTACAAAATTCTTCACAGTACGCTCTTATACGTGATTAAATAATGTACTAATGGATTTGTAACTTAAATCCTTTCTTCTTGCGAGTTCCTACCGTGTAACACCTCCTTATTATTTTATAATCTTCAAAACAGAGCAATCATTTTTAAGGCTCATTACGGCATCATGTATGATTTTTAAAATGTTTCGGCCAAAAGCAAGAAAAGATTCTGTACCGCGTGCGCACGATGTAAATCACCCAACATCGGGACATTTGGCGTTTTGATCATGGGTAATTTAAAATGTGTCCACGGATACCTGGACATCGGGACATCCTGCGCAAATCGGTTAACCTGACAACACTAGCTCACACGACATTGCGAATTGATATACTAATTCAGCGGAGAGTTGGTGACCATAGTATTAGTATCTCAAAGCATTCTAGTGGATAATAAAACATGAGATTCGTAGCATCATCAAAGTCATAACAATACAGCATTTTTACTGACAGTTCACTGATATATGTGCTGTCATTTAATACACAAACAGAATCACTTTTACGTACCGGGGTGTATTTACCATAGTTGCTTGGCCAAAGACGCTTGGCAGACGGATTGGCAACCACAGTTTTTTCAATTTTTTAGTATCAACATCAAATTTAAACCAATTAAGTAATAAAACAGGAGCAGGTCATTCCCACCAAATTCCACTGTCGAGTGAATTACGAAAATGGACACTTTATTTGCATAACTCTAATTACAACTTAAAACCACACTAATAACAAAATACAATCAAATACAAATCAAACAAACAATACAAATCAGTAGTATTGGATTCTCGTCACGGACGGTATACGAACAACAAAGATTGCTCAGATTTTTAATTCGAAAAAATAGAAATAAAGTTTGTTTCGGCCTATTAACATAATATATAAGTGAAATAGCACATGACTTTTCTGTGTGAGTATTATGGTGTTGTAACTTAAATGATTGTGAGTTTTTTCACCTAATCTGATCTAGAAGATCTTTGACATTCTAAGCTCGGAAGAGGGTACATGGATCTATAATTTCATAGTAGCATTGATAGCAACTACTTGGTGAGTTTAATTAGCGCCATCTTTTGTACAACATTCTTAGCACCCATTAAACTCAATATGCCAAAGTGTGGAGCATGTGGTAAATTTCTTACGTCGACAGGTGCCGTTACTTGTACTGTTTGTACGATTATGTTCCATCGTGGATGTCTATTAGTATCTAATACGGCAACTATAAGCAAAGATTGGGCTTGCCCAGAATGCAAAAGGAAGTCACGAAAAGGGGACAATACATCTACTCCTGTAAGAGGGATATCTGGTTATCTGGTAACATATCACAAGATAATGTGTCACCTCGGGAGGTCACTACTAGTCCACCCTGCACCGATTTGTCTAAGACATTACACATGTTATCTGGTGAAGAATCGATTGCACAAGAGCTCAGTCACCAGCTAGTGACCTGCACAACTGAGATGTGTGAACTGCGAAAGGAGATTAGTGAACTTCGAGAGTCCGTATTAGGGTTTAGTGAGCGTATGAATGGCATTGAGCGTAGGCTTGAG